CCTATCCCATCCCCTTTCTGCTCCCCAAGGAGGGTGAGGCCTTCCATGGGGGATCTTCAAAATCTGTCATCATTTGGAGCAGGGCCTAGATCCTCCCCGTGTGTCTAGGCTGAAAGAGTATCCCTCTATGTGGAGAGGGCTCCCAAAGTCCATTCGTATACTAGGGATAAATACTGACCAGAGGCCCCATAGATTGCCCAGACCTCCAAACTGACATCCTCGATCAGGGGGTCTGGAACAGTCCTATGCTGGTTTCCCAGCTATCAGTCTGGAGTCCATGAGCAAACCTTTGTTCAGGTCAGCTGTCCCTGTGGGTTTCTCCAGTCTGGTCCTGACCCCTTTGCTCATCACTCCTCCCTCTCTGCAACTGGATTCCAGAGTTCAGCTCAGTGTTTAGCTGTGGGTGTCTGCATCTGTTTCCATCAGCTACTGGATAAAGGCTCTAGGATGGCATATAAGGTAGTCATCAATCTCATTATCGGAGAAGGGCATCCAGTTATGCCAGTGCCATTTGTTGAAGATGCTTTCTTTTTTTCCATTGTATAATTTTAGCTTCTTTGTCAAAAATCAGATGTTCGTAGGTGTGTGGGTTAATATCAGGGTTTTCAATTTGATTCCATTGGTCTACCTATCTATTTTTGTGCCAATACCAAGCTGTTTTCAGGACTATAGCTGTATAGTAGAGCTACTTCAATACTTTTTGTTAAAAAATAATTTTATATTTTCTTTAAGTTCTGAACACTCAGAATGTTTTCAGCTGTAAAGCATTTCAGAAGTAATGTTAAGTGCACCTTCCTAAAGCTTTGAAAGAAACTTTAACTCAGAGAATTAATTATTTTAAAACATAGTTTATCATTATTGAGCAAAGCAATTTTCTCTTGATCTATGCTACATTTATGTGAAAGTTTTAGTTTTAAATTAAACAGGGATCTATATCTATTAATTTGCAAACTTTAAAAATAACTTGATAGTTGGGTGTGGTGGTATACATCTTTAATCCCAGCACTCAGGAGGCAGAGGTAGGTGGATCTCTGTGAGTTTGAAGACAGTCTGGTCTACAGAGTGAGTTCTAGGACAGCCAGGACTGTCTCAAAACCTGTTTTTGAAACCCTGTCTCAAAAAAACAAAAACCAACAAAACAAAAGAAAAACACACCCCAAACCCTGCCACCCAGTTATTGTTATAACACTAAAAATATACTTTCTAAAAAATACTATATTTTGCCTTATTGTGGACTTATTTTTAAAAACAAGATGATTAGCTGTTTATTCAAAGAATCCATTTACTTCTCTGGCACAGCATTGGAAAGTGTTTTACAAAAGTCAGTCATACTAGACAGTTAACTCAAACAGCTATGACACCTCCAGGTGATTTACACTGGGTACCCACAGCCAACTTCCTCTGGGCCACATAAAATGTTGACACATTCTCTGCATGATGTGCTGTGCAACTGGCCTCTAGTTCCACAATGAAAAGACAGCTTTTAATAGGCATATAAGTGCACATGTGGAAAGCCACCAAGTGTCTTTGCACAGTCTGGGTCATCCTGACCAACTCACACAAGGAGCCTGGCTGGTTTCAGGGCTCTCAATTAAAGAGTCAGAATAAACTGCTCAGTCAACCTGTTGACATTTTAAAGTGTAGCAGCTCTCTTACATAGACCAGGGCTGAGAGCAAACCACAGAGTAAACAGCTTGTTTTTGTCTGGGACTGGAGAGCATGATGCCAGGGAACTACCACTCAGCTGGGAACATGTAGCTCTACTACACGTCACTTGGGTGGGATTTCTTTATCCTGATGAAGCTGGGCCAAGCCATAGAAATGCTAAAGTAAAGGCCAAGGGCCAACAAACTAGCTTTAGTAACACAAGAAAAGGGTACTCAAGGAAAAATGTATGTATTTCCATATTTATTTTATGTTCTATGTGATCACAGAAGGCCAACCAACACACCTAACAACTGTAACGACTGAGGCAAAAGAGATGGCTCAGTGGGTAGGAGCACTGGCTGCTCTTCCAGAGGACCTAGGTTTGATTCTGAACACCTACATAGCAGCTCTCAACCATGTGTAACTCCAGTTCTAGGGAATCTGACACCCTCTTCTGGCTTCTAAGGGCACTGCATGTATATGGCACGCACGCACGCGCACACGCAGGCAAAACCCCCATACACATGAAATATGAATAAATAATTCTTTTGAAAAATTATATTCTTTTGTTCAAAGAATGAAAGGAAAAATGAGGGCTAGGAATGTAGCTCTGCGGTGGATCATTTGTATCATGTGAGTGGCCTTGAATTGGATCCCCAGCATCAAACACACAGATACCATACACACAAGATTGCATGCACATGTGCCAAGTGCACACACACGTGAGCCCATAATGATGACAAAGTATGAACATGCAATAAAGCCCAGTGATTAATACTCAGAATATTGTTCAAAAGGATGCAAATTACAGAGAAGAATTGAAAAATTAACACTGCCAATAAAAAATAACAGCAGAAATCCCCAAATACAGCTGGATTAGATAAAATTTAAGATGGAGTCTCCTAGGTGTTATGGTGAGAGTGTGGAAGTCCCAGCACTTGGGGATAAGGAGTTTCAGGCCAGTCTAAACTAGTGTTGAGACCCCTATTCCAAAACAAGCAAAGAAGGAAGGACACCCAGGGCATCGGTGTGCATGCTTCAAGTGAGAGTAGTAGAAAGGTCTGAGCGCAACCAAGGGGAATGAAACCAGATCTAAAGATGTGAATGAGGGCCGGGCGTTGGTGGCGCACACCTTTAATCCCAGCACTCGGGAGGCAGAGGCAGGCAGATCTCTGTGAGTTCGAGGCCAGCCTGGTCTCCAGAGTGAGTGCCAAAGCTACACAGAGAAACCCTATCTCAAAAAACAAAAAAACAACGACAAAAAAAAAAAAAAGATGTGACTGAGGTGCCTGGGGAGTGACTTGGGTGACTGCATCCTGCATTCAGATAAAGTCTCAGTGCTCAGTCAAGTGTGCTGGTGGTAGAAGCCTGTGATCAGCACCTGGGAAGGCACAGTGGCAGACAGATTAGGAATGCAAAGTTATCCTCCACTATGAAGTGAGTTCAAGGCCACTCTAAGCGACACCAGACCTTATCTCAAAAGCAAGACAACAAAAAAAATATAAAAAAGCAAAATAAATACTTGAAAATCAAAGCTTTGTAATGACAAAAAAAGCAAACTCAAATGAACAGAGAAATAGTGATTTCTGATATTAGCTCTTGCCGCAGAAACAGAAAGAACCGCAAAAGATCCTCTAATAAGCCTAATGCGAGCTAAGATTTCAACAAAAATGGATTTTTCTTTGAAGTGAGAAAACTTACACTGATGGGCTGAAATAGGGGAATACGTTGCCTTCCATTTAACAAATAATTATTGTGGCTCATGCCTGTAATCCTGATGCTTGGGAAACTGAGGCAGAAGGATTCTTGTTGAGTTCAAGGCCAGTATAGTATTTAAGTGAGAATCCAACAAACCACTCCTGGAAAGATCAATTATTACAAAAAATTTATTCATTTAGGAGGTGTATTTGTGTGTGTTTAAGTCAGAGGACAACTTGTGGCAATCAGTTTTTTTTTTTTTTTTTTTTTTTTTTTTTTTTTTTTTTTTTTTTTTTTTCCGAGACAGGGTCTCTCTGTGGCTTTGGAGGCTGTCCTGGAACTAGCTCTTGTCTCGAACTCACAGAGATCCGCCTGCCTCTGCCTCCCGAGGGCTGGGATTTAAGGCGTGTGCCACCAACACCCGGCTCAGTTCTCTCTTTCTAACATATGGTATCTGGGGAATGAACTCAGATCATGTTAGGCTTAGTGTGGCAAGTACCTTTACCCATGAGCCTTCTTGCAGGTCTGTAAAGGTAAACAAAAACATGTACATAGTATGTATGTAGGGGCCTCTCTGTGTGTGTGTGTGTGTGTGTGTGTGTGTGTGTGTGTGTGTCTGTGTGTCTGTGTGTCTGTGTGTCTGTGTGTGTATACAAGCCAGCAGTAAAATGGTGTCAATCGTTAATATGGCCTCAATTATATTTGTTAGTTTGTTTGGCTATAAAAAGTTCCTGGAAACCTGTTTCATTAGTTGTTATAAAAAATACTTGTCTTTCAGCTCATCAAACCACCTCTCCCAAAGTGACTGTTAAGGAAGCAAGTCAGACTCTGCAGCCTTATATTTAATTTCCCATTTCTACTACTGCCAACATAATTTTTAGCTTTATTTCTGAGCCATCCAGAAGTGAATCCAAGAGCTATTCACATTACTACACACCACTGTACAGCTCTGGTTTTATTTTAGTAGTGAAAACAGACTTTTTCTGAGCTCTGCCGTTTTGGGGTTTTCTATAAATCAGTACAATTTTAAGCACCAGGTTCAAGTCCAATACCAGCCCTACAAAGATGGTAAAATGTAGGGCAAATGCACATGGCATACTCACCTCAATAATCTCCTTTTTCTCTTGGTGGGGATGCGGTGATCGTGGGTAGATGTCAAGAAGGTGTGGTGAGGACTCAAAATGCAATCTTTTGAGGTTTCTTTTATTAGGATCTTTACACTGCAATTGATTAAAGTGAGTCCTCCATAACAAGACCTACAGAGAGTCAACGGTGTTGGTAGTTATTGGCCAGCATATGAAATCAAAAGGTCAAACATCCAAAGCTGCTCTAAACAGTCAGAATAATGTCTATGTGTAGAGATACACATGTCTGTCACTGCTCTTCAACATTTTAGGCATGGCAAGGAGATTTAGCATTCTGAATTGCCTTCATGCTCGACTTAAAACTTCTACTTTGAGCTGGGTGTGTGTGTGTGTGAGGGGGGAATGCACTTGGGAGGCAGAGGCAGGAGGATCATTGAGGGTTTGAGGACAGCCTAGCCTTTATTGTGAGTTCCAGGCCAGTGGACAGTGACATACAGTGAGACCCTGTCTCAAAAATACTACCCAGATCCAAACCTAAACCAAACCAAACCAAACCAAATTCTTACTTAGGTAACATTTTATAAACTGAAAACATTTCTCTCTGCTCCTCACCAAAAGCCCCACACCATGCTTTTGACTTGACCATTCATTTTGTTCAATAACCCGGCTATGAATGACTTTTGGTCACCTCATGTAAATGTAGATTTGCCTCATCATGATTTCAACTTATAATCCACAGGCTGCTCAATATTTGAAGAAATACCAAGTACAGACAAAATCTTAGGCAGTAACTTAGGTTCATGGACACTGAAACTGGGCATTCAGTGTCAACTGAATGTATTATTAAGTATAAAATACAGCAAGAGAAAATACTTGTGGAATTCTTAAAATTATTCAGCTATGTGACAACAAACCTGATGCTAAGTTAACATAAAAACCCACTGGTCATCATCTCAATATGCACAGGCTTGCTAGTGATGAGCATCCTAAAGACATCAAAGATCTCTTTATGTAAATCGGATCCTTCTATCCAAATCAATGATGTACAAACCTGAGCATCTGCACCTCCTGATGCGAACAGTTCTCCGTCCTTTGAAAATGTAACAGCAAAGACAGGACCCTAAGAGACAAAGGAAAAATGTAACAGTAAACACAGGACCCTAAGAGACAAAGGAAAATGTAACAGTAAACACAGGACCATAAGAGATAAAGGAAAATATAACAGTAAAGAGAGGACCCTAAAAGATAAAGGGAAGTAAAGAGAAGAGGATTGAGAGCTGTTTTCTCCTGGCCAACAGGACTGAGTGCCACTTCTCTGTTCTATATTGTCACACAGTGCCTAGTGTCTGATGGACACATCCAGCAGTTAACAATGAATGGTGGCCAAGTACAGATAAAGAACCACCCAAGCATGTCAGGACACATGTAAGTGATAATACGCAAAAGAAGGAATGGCTTGCACATGCATAAACTGGTAAGAATTTCTGTTAAGCTTTGTTCTGACTTTCTGGTTTGTATTTAACCAATTACTAATAAAAACACAGGCCATTTCTTGACCATAATAGGCTCCACTGGGTGCCCTCTTATGAAGCAGGCTACAGGGAGCCACTTCCAGTTTAAGAGCAGGACATGGGAGGAGAGCTGTGAGGAGTAAAAGTCAGCAGTACAACCACAAATTTGAACAGCACAGAACAGGTGGAGGCCAGTGGGGTGGTTACTGAAATTATCTACGGAGAGATAATAAGCACTTAAAATTGAACAGTTCCTGTGAAGTTGTACATCTGTAGTTTGCATGAGGTCAGTCCATCAAGATTGGAGGAATTATTTCTCACCTCAAAATATTAACACTTGTTTATTTTTTAACACACACTTAAACTAATATGCAAAGTTTTGGAGAAAACATTTTGCTTTATTCACATATGCCCTGAGTTATGTATCAAATGTGAAGTGCCCCCCCCCCATAGGTTTCTATGCTTGAACACTTCATGTCCAGCTGGTGGTGCTGTCTGGAAATATGGCGTCTTCAGGAGGTGAAAGCGCATCCATCACTATGGGCATGCCTTGTAGTTGTATCACCTGGTCCTACTTCATGCTCTCTCTCTCTCTCTCTGCTTCCAGACCAGCAATGCAATGTGATAGGCTGACCTCATGCCCCTGCTGCCAGGGTAGACTGTACCCCTTCTGGAAGTGGAATGGAACAAGCCCTCTCTCTCTCCAGCTGCTTGTCAGGGGTTCTTAGTGCAGCAATAGGAAAGTAACTACGGCACCCTAGGTTGTACCTCTACCTCTAGATGAAAATGTTATCTGGGTGCAAAGAGTTTTTCTCCTAAATGCTGTTCTATCTTTTTCCTAATTATGTAGTGTTACTTAGTCATTGTTATAGGTTGTATTTATTTTCCCTAAATGCATGCATCTCCATGGGACTGAGCTGGTTCTGCTTTGTATTAACCCTGTTGTAGAACAAAAGAACAGAGCAGGAAGTCAGGCCAGACACATCAGACAGGAAGAAGCTTTCTCTTCTAGACCACAAAGCCCATTCTATTTTGAGATACTGAAGAGCTAATATTCACCTAAAAGAACATACCCGGTGCATAAGGCAGAAAACAAAAAAATTTGTTCTAAAAAGTTTACACGTTTGAATATTTATCCATAAGACTTACAGATTCCCAGCACTCAGAAGGCAGAGGCAGGAGGATCTCTGTGAATTCAAAGAGCTAGTTCCAGGACAGCCTCCAAAGCCACAGAGAAACCCTGCCTCGAAAAACAAAAAACAAAACAAAAAAAGACTTACAGACTTAAAGACTATCAACATTTTGTAAACCAATGGAGAAATAAGACAAAAGAATAAGGACTACCAGAGCCTAAACATCAGCTTTCTCTCCAGTAAGTTTGTTAAAAGCAGACTATTGCTTATCTGGAAGGCAAGTGGGTGTTCTAGAAACAATATTCACAATGAGCCAGGTGTGATGGCCTAGTTACAGGTGACACTGGATGAAGACAAGTCTTTGCAGAAGAATTATCTGAGAAGAACAGCAGGGACAGGCTCCCAGTCCAGGGCAGGGAGCAGAAGGTGTTAGGTTCTGATAGTCAATTTCTCCTAAACGCACCAATTAGATTGCATCATGCACTCTGCAACTGCTCAAGACTACTCTACAAGATAATTTTCAGCTGAAATGTGATCTGTGTATTTTCTATATGTGTGACACGTGTGTGTGTGTGTGTGTGTGTGTGTGTGTGTGTGTGTGTATTACTCCATTTAAGCAGTACAGCCTGTGATACACACTGACAGAGAAGTAGTATTTACTAACGAATGGATAAAGCCACTCATTTTGAAAAGTTGCAATAAATATTATTACTGTTTGGTGGGTTTTTGAAGACAACAAATATTTTTAAGAGTTGCTTCTATAGATTAAAAAGTTAGAAGTATGCCAGGCAGTGGTGGCATACATCTTTAATCCCAGCACTTGGGAGGCAGAGGCAGGTAGATCTTTGTGAGTTCAAGCCCAGCTTGGTCTACAGAGCAAGTTCCCGGACAGCCAGGGCTACACAGAGAAACACTGTCTCAAAAACAAAACAAAACAAAACAAAACAACAACAAAACGAAACGCAAACCCAAACCACACCAAAAAACTCCAAAACTTGAAAGTAAAAAAATGAAATTCTAGGGGCTAGAGAGATGGCTCAGCGGTCAAGAGCACTGACTGCTCTTCCAGAGGTCAATTCCCAGCAACCACATGTTGGCTCACACCCATCCGTTATGAGATCTGGTACCCTCTTCTGGTGTGCAGATATACATGGAAGCAGAATGTTGTATACATAATAAATAAATAAAATCTTTAAAAAAGGAGTAGCAGCAAACGTACATTACTACCAATAATAATAATAATAATAATTATAATAATTATAATAATAATAAAAATCATCTTAGTGTTGATACCGTATGTCCTTGGAGTGTGTATATGAGTCTTCCTTCTAGGAGATCCAGAATCCTAAGTGTTCCATCAGAAGAGGCTGTGACCATGCTGTTACCCAAAGGATGGAATGATAAACAGTTCACACCGCAGCTGTTAACTAATTTGTAGAAAATAAACACAAAAATTCAGGAAACAGTAGTTTCTCTATGATGTCTTTAACATCATAACTGTAATTTGATATAATTAGCTTCTTTATGACCCTGTTAATTTTTTTCAGAGAGTGATTCTTAATTTCAGAGCATTTCTGTTGCTTTGTTAGCAGCATTACTGTGAAAACAATCAGCCAGAGGCAGCATCTCAGTCACAGAAAAATCATAGCTCATCGAATAGAGTTAAGTATCCTGGTATCATGTGACCTGAAGCTTCCAGTTAATGAGACAGAGTCACTTCAGAAAGGAGAGTGCATCACATGTGCACACAGCTGTATTACCAAAATAACTAATAGCTGACTATTGTCAGCTCATAGAAGCTCTCTAATTCAGCCTCAAATTAAATGTAAAGAGCAATTGGGGTTTGGGATTAAGAAATGGCGAGTGTGAAGTTGTGAGGGACAGCCCAGAGCTTAAGTATGAGAATTCATGTCTGGACACATCCTTCCACTAGGAGGCAGTATAATACGATAATCAAAAAAGCACGTTTTCTATACACTATGTTGTCCCAAAGTCTTAAGTTTATTTCCATCCATTTTCTTACCCTTAGAACAAAAGAAGTAATGATGCCTACTAGGAATAGTGTCAGGCTTTGCTTTTGCCTGCTGCTTAAAAATTATGGAATAAACATGTGGCAGGTATTATTTCCATGCACAACAATGATGTGCATTTAGTACACGGCTAATAGCAACCAAGACCATCCCCTCTCTTTCTGCTTTAGTACACCGACACAGAAGGAAGCTGTTTCCTCCAAGTCAGTTATTCCCATTCCTTCGGGATTACATCACCTGCTGACTCTCACACAGTGCAGACAACCAGAGCTTGAAAACTACCATAGTAACTTCATTTTTTACAGTCAGTTTTAAAGTCCCTTTTAAAAGATGGATGGGATGGGGGACATGACACCAGACCCCTTTATCTATTCCTTTTCCCAATGTGGCACCCTGAGTATATCTCACTCTGCTTTTCAGTATTCTTCACCTCTTTAATTGGCATCCTGGAGATACATGGCCAAGCCGAGCTTTTAGGAGTTTCCAGGGCCAACACTTCTGCCCTAAAAGCTCTGGTTATACAGCTCTGTCAAGTTGAACCACGACAAAGACACCTTTTTGGCATCAGCCACTCAAGCAAGGGCAGCCTGGAGTCGCTTTTATTCCAGGAACTTTTCTTATCTCTCACTTGGTTTTCTGCTTGGATTTGGTGAGGTGGAGAAGGGAATGGTTGGCTTCTTCATGCTCTGAGTACTGACCTTTAAGCTCTCCCAATCCATGCACCTTAGTCCCGCCCTCCTTTTCTCCTCCCTGTCAGTTTGGAGGCTCTTTTGAGCTGTCTGGGTTCCTTCTGAACTAGTTTGAATCTCTGCAGTCCCTTGTCTTCTGAGCCACTATGGAGTCTTTAAACCATTTGGGGATCCACTATGATAGGGATGGCTAAGTTCTATAATTCTGTGTTAGTAACAAGTAGGGAGTGGATATAAAATATATCAAGAAATAGCAATGTTTGGGATATCTTTTTGTAGTTTGTATAAGCATGGAATATGAAGTTTGTGCTATCCTGCACCCCTCAGGGAGTATTCTCACTTGTTCTTTGTAGCTTTTGGTGGCTCATCTAAGATTGCACCGTGAATCATATAAACTTTTTTGTGTGCCATATCATTTTTACTCTATTAGAGTCTATAATAATTGGCTTAATGAAAACTGGATGGCTATAGCAACCGTCCAGTTAGAAACTGATTGAAGAGAAGAAACAAATGCTCCCTGTGGCCCGCTCTGGGTGACTAGCGTCCTGATGGGGTGTCAGGCCACATGCTGTACTGAGGTCTCGAAGGGAACCACAAAGTAAATTCTGTGTTTGGAAGGATCCCAACAGTTCAACTAAGAGGTGCTCATTTGAACTACTCCTTGGTGTCCGGGATTTCTGAGACATGTCAGAGGGGCTAGCCATCCCACTATAAGAAGGAATCACTATTAAACATTACATCTTACTGTCCCCAAACTCTTGCTTAGTATCTGTACTTGCTTCGGCTTCCAAGATGAGCCTCTAGTCAAAAGACTAAGAAAACAGGGACAAAAAAGAAATAAATAGGGGCTGGAGAGATGGCTCAGAGCTTAAGAGCACTGACTACTCTTCCAGAGGTCCTGAGTTCAATTCCCAGCAACCAAATGGTGGCTCACAACCATTTGTTATGAGATCTGGTGCCCTCTTCTGGTGTGCAGATATACATGGAAGCAGAATGTTGTATACATAATAAATAAATAAAAAAAAATAAAAAAGGCCACACACCAAAATTGCCATTCTTGGCATGTCTAATTTGAATGTATAAAAGAGAATGTTTCGGGGTAATTTTTAGGCTACATAAATCTACAGTAGTTGTTGCCTTGTCCTGTCTCCCACCTTACCCACCCACTCCCATTCCTCTACTTTGACGCTACCATTTTGTTTTGTTATTTTGAAAGGAAAAAAAAGTAGCTTTTCAAGATCTTAGGTTTTGCTAAAAAAAAAAAAAAAAAAACCTGACATGTAAGCATTTAAGAGTTAAAAGTAGATGTTGGAATAGAAGGAAGAGGGTGAAAGGTCATTTTAAAACCAAACTGTTGATGCCTGCTTAGATAAGGCTTGAAGGGTGAATTTTAATTCAGTTTCGTAAGCAGGTAAACTTTAATTTGTCATTCTGTCATAAACCCAATTTGAATCCATCTCTCATTTGTAGTATATTTGAGCTATTAACAAATATGTTATTATAAAATGCCAGTGTATAGAGAAGGAGATTAAGATTGCTTTCTCCTGAATTTTTTTTTTTTGTTTTTTTGTTTTGTTTTGTTTTGTTTTTCAAGACAGGGTTTCTCTGTGTAGCTTTGGAGCCTATTCTGGCACTCGCTCTGGAGACCAGGCTGGCCTCGAACTCACAGAGATCCACCTGCCTCTGCCTCCCGAGTGCTGGTATTAAAGGCGTGTGCCACCAACGCCCGGCCTCTCCTGAAATTTTTGCTGAAAGTTTATTTAGAATTAAATTTGTAATGAATACATGGAATTCTATATCCAGGAAATACAAACACATTCATATAGATGAAAAACCTATTTAAAGGCATGTAATTTATTTTATTAAGAAATAATTTTTGAGCTGGGTGTTGGTGGCACATGCCTTTAGTCCCAGCACTCTGGAGGCAGAGGCAGGCAGATATCTGTGAGTTTGAGGCCCACCTGGTCTACAAGAGCTAGTTCCAGGACAGCCTCCAAAGCCACAGAGAAACCCTGTCTCGGGGGAAAAAAAACAAAAAAACAAAAACAAAAAACCCAAACCCAAAACAAACAAAACAACAACAAAAAAGTAGCCTGTTTTTGCTAAATTATACCATTCTTTCAGTGGACACAAATTTAAATGTATTTCTGAGAATAGAATTAGGACAGGTTGATGGTCATAATGCTGACAATTGTAATACTGAATGCTATGAGATTATTTTGCCAATTGTTTGGCTTCCTTTTTTATAAAGAGATTTATTTTAAAATTGTATGTGTAAATGCTATGTTTACATGTATGTAGGTACACTGTGTGTATGCCTGGCACCCACTGAGGCCAGAGGAGGACACTAGATCCCTTGAAACTGGAGTTTGGGGCAGCTGTGAGATGCCATGTGGCTGTTGGAAAGGGAGCCCAGGTCTTTTACAAGATCAGCAAGTGCTCTTACCCACTGAGCCATGGGTCCAGTGTCCATTTCTCAACTTCTTGTAGTATTCTAAATATGAGTGTTCTAAGACTCTTGGTTTGCTCAGTTTTGATCCTTGTCCAAAGTACTTAGATTCAAACTCAGGGGAAATGACCCTAGTGTGCAGTTATTTTTGAATCCCATGTCTTTCAATATTTGCTCTTGTTAGTAGTGACTTCTATTTTCCTTGTAAATTTTTTTGACCATTGTCTGCTAATATTCTGTATAAATACATCTTAAATGATCTAAGCATTATCAAGATGCCAGGCTATCACCGACAGGACAGACAGAATTAAATTAAGAATGAATTCCAGCCTGAGGGTCTCTTATGCTTCTTATTTACTTGAATTTGGCTCCAAAGGGGAAGGGTGGCATTTAGGGAGTCTTCTGACACTGGCTCCGTGTCATATTTCATCTCTCTTCCCCTACCTGACATGAGATCAGATCAGGTCAATGGGGACAGCTCTTATCCCAGTGACTAGGGACAGTTAAGATGAAATCACTAGATGATTAGTCAGCCATGCCTTCAGAGAAAATTGTTCCTACATAATGGGGGACATCTTCGAAGTCAAAATAAAGTCCCGATAGGCATGGTGGTACATACTTATAGTTCCAGTACTTAGGAGGGCAAAATAGGAGGTTCATGATTAGGGCCAGCCTAGACTACATAGGAAGACCCTATCTTAAAGTGAACAACTAAAATTAAGTTACTTGTGTGAGTCCTTCCAAAAGCAACTAAGCCAAGGGAGTATAAGGAAGCTATTCTTAAGCATGGTTGCCTGACATCAACTCCCTTCCACTAGAGTCCATTCTTAGTAGTCTATACTCAGAGGGATTAGCTAGGAAGATGTCTTCCTATAGATTTTATTTAATTGGATCTATTTTGGCTTTGGATGCTAGCACTCTATTTCCTATTGGGATTTCCACTTTTAGACTTAAACATCTGGCTCATTTCACATGGATGCCCAGTCATTACAGCCTGTTCTCTTCTCAGGCACTAGTTTATTACTGAGCCAAGAAAACCTACAAAGCCAGACTGGCCAGACACACTAATTCCCTCAAGATTGAGCAATATTTAAACACAAGGGGAAACTGAAATGGGAGCATAGAAGCTGCTTTTCCTAAATGTCAACTCATTTGGGCCACAAGCAACTGAAAGCCTGGAATCTTGGCCCTCATTTTGTATCTGTCAGTCTCCTTAACTATGGCTACAAAGACATACACAAATACATATATGTTGGAGAATCTTATTTTTAGGTGTGTGACTTCTGTTTATGCTGCATTTGTTTAACTGTGAAGCTGTGTTACTGTCCCTGTCTAAAACACCTGGTGGTCCTAATAAAGGGCTGAACGGTCAATTTCGAGGGAGGAGCAAGGATAGGCAGGGCTGGCAGGCAGAGAGGATAAATAGAAGGAGAAAGGAGGAAGAGGGGGAGCAGGAGAACAAGGAGAGAAGGATGTCAGGGGTCAGCCACCCAGCCACCCAGTCACCCAGCCATCCAGCTACACAGCAATCCACAGAGTAATATTTACAGAAGTTAAGAAAACAGGAAAAGCCCAGGGACAAAAGGTAGACAGGATAATTACCATTAAGAAAATCTGGCTACAAACAAGCCAAGCTAATGCCAAGTATTCATAAGTAAGAATAGGCCTCCGTATGTGATTCATTTGGGAGCTGGATAGTGGGCCCCCCAAAGAGAAAAAAACATTACACAACACATACATGTCCTAAACATGTAGTCACCTTGGATCCCTGGGAAAACAACCTCTCAGAACAGACTCATCTCCCAGGTGAGGACAATTATCCATGAGCCTCACAATGGGACAGAAAGGAAATGAATGTAGGAAGCAGATTTATCCCACTCAGCAATCGGATTAGAAGGGCTTTCTCTGCCCTTTATAGACTCATACATGGACGCCCTGGTCAGGACTGCTTCCCTCTGCATACCTCCTTGTATCCTGCCTCCCTTCTTGCTCTGCCTAAGTTGGAAGCTCATGCCACTACTCCAAGACAGACTTGGGGGTTGACTGATCCTTTATCTGTTTCCCTTCCCAACATGGTCACACTGAATACATTTTCTCTCTCTGCTTTTCATTAAAATAAATAAACATTTATTAAACAATAAATAAACATAAAATAAAATAAACATTGTTTGTACCTCTCTTCTTCGTCTTGTTTCTTCTGTTGATGGGAATTAACTACTCTGCTGTAGCCAGTTCAAGTGCAGCCTCTGACCCCCCATGTAGAGCTCTAAAGCCAACCACAGGCCTTTCCTGTAGCAGCCATTGGATAGTGAGACTTCTTTCTGGTTGGGGGAACCATTACCTTGATAGTGCTGGAGTAATTTGTTCACTCTTATATCCCAGATTTTCACAGTGTGATCAGAACCTGCTGAAGCTATGCATGTACCATTAGGGCTAAAGTCCACAAAATTTGCAAATCTAGGAAGAA